TTCCACCACCCCCCCCCCCCCCCCAAAAAAAAACAAAAAAACCCTCTACGCCTTATCACATATAGTACAAATTCAAGTAACCACGTCTCTATGGGTCAAACATTAATGGCATCTGGAGACAGGCAAGAAACATTAAAAATAGCATGGAACTCTTTTTGGCAACCAGCGCATACAGCAAGTTGGTGCAGCAATGCAGTGAATCCAGCTGAAAGGAACAAAAACAAGTGATGGCAAGTTCTCTTTTAAAAGGAAACGCCTCCAGTTTAATTTGAAGTGTCAAACAAATATGCTTTTATTTGCCCTCTAAGGCACAGCACAGTCAGAAAGCAAACACACAGAGAGAAAGCATGTTTCTTGTGGTACTTTAATATTTTCCCAGCTGTTCTAGAAAACTCAAAAATGTAGGTCCCCACTGTTTTTAGGTAGACACACTACAAGGTGAGCCCCACACCTTCTCTAAGCATCATTCTGATCCCCTTCCTCGACCAAATCTGTGGCTCTGCTTTCTGATCCTTGCTCCAATGCTGTGATCCCTGCTCCCTCCCTGATCTGCCACATGCCACATACATGGAGCCTGTGCCACTTGTGGCACACGTGCCATGAGTTGACCACCCCTGTTCTAAAATATGGAGGACAGGGAACAGGAGGAGATTTTTCAAGAGACCCTAAGTGATTTTCATTGGTGCTTTGGAAACATTTTGTCCACCTACACAACATCCCCCTTCATGCAAAAGGCACCACAGCTTCTGGTGACTCTTTCATCTAGCACCTTTTGTTCTTTGTAGCATCTCCCTTGGAAAAAGTTTCAGGTGTACCTCAAATCAATAGGTCATATTATATTTATAAAAATTCTTTGTGATTCTGACTTTACAGCAGGTTTTATGGTTTCTCCCCAGTAAAAGTCTCAGAAGTCTAATAAAGTCTTTTAGACTTTAAACAGAAATCTCCCTCTGGACACAAGGAATCAAACAGACACTCTCACTCCAAAACTGTCCGGAGGCATCGTTGCTAGAGTGAACAACTGCCATCATAATCCACCAGAAGATCTAGCACAGCAGTGGAGTGTTCCAGGAAGGCAGGAAGAATTGCAGGATTCAGAGATGCTCAGTGCTTCCGAGCATGCTAGCAAAATAAATACACCCTCAATTCTTCTTTAAAGCAATCCAGCTATCGCAAGTCTGAACAGAACACCCTTGGCAGAGCTCTGGTATTGGGTGACATATTGAAAAGTAGTTAACTGTTCATGTCTGAAGTGAGCTATATGGCAGATGAGCATTTTAAAGCTGTAAAGCAGAGGTGTAAAACTCATCCGGCCTCATGGACTAGATAAGCCCTGTAGACCAGCCCCAAGCAGCAGAGCCAGCACACAGGGCTGGGCTGGTGCATGCACTTCATGCAGTGCATGCCCTAGAAAAGCCCCATGTCATATATGGTGCACGCCAACCCCCATCCAGCGCTGGAGCATGGAGCTGGCATGGGATACATGCTACATGCAACACCCATCCCAGACTGGCCTTATGCACTGGGTCCAGTATGCAGGGCTGGTCTGTGAGCCCAATCTGGACCAGCCCTGAGGCCAGCAGTGTGCTCCCCGGACCAGCCCCCTGTGCTGAGTACATCACCCACAGTGCCGGGTCTAGTTTGGCACACTGCATGTAGTGTGCCCCAGACTGGCTCCATGAACAGTATGCAGTGCAGGGGACCAGAGCCAGTGCATGCCCCATGCAGTGTTTAGGGGTGGTCCAAGACTGGCAAGCCAGATTGTAAAGCTCCACAGACCAGATCTGGCCCATAGGCATATCTTTGACACCCCTGCTGTAAAGTAATGAACTGGCTAAACAAGTGAAAGACTTTGTATCATTTAGTTTTAGTTCAGTTAGAGGGGAAAATACAAAACAGCACTCATGCATGAACTTCAGTGCTCAGAAGAGGAGCTTGCTAAAAAAGGCAATGCTTCACCCTTTCTGTACAGATCCTTAGGACAGCTAAGGCAGAGGGAGTGACTCAAAAATCTACAAGCAAGATTATTCTTTGAACTTACAAAAGCAAAGAAACAGCCAACACTGGAACAGGACAGTGTACTCTGGTGCATGTGTTGTAAACACACTGGCATACCTTACAGAGACAATACAGAAGATCAGATTTGTGTGGACTAAGAAGGGAATTTAACTGCAAAGTTGCCTGGTGTGTGCCAACATATCACATATGGCACTGAAAATTAAGGTACTGTACCTAAGCGGCATATTCTGGAGTGAGCTTTTTTCAGGTTCAAATCAAACCTTCAAAGTAAATCAGACTACTTTGTTTAATAATAGGAGTCATACAAGTGGGAAAATGTAGCCCTTTAAAGCTTTTTGACTTTTATTAACTGTTTCCACACACATTTTGTAATCTAGCATTTGTTTTGTACACATTGAGGCAAGTTTGCGTGTGTTCTTAGAAAGGATCTCTTCTAAATAACAAATGTACAGAGACATTTGAAGACTCTCAAAAGTATTTGCAGATTGTGTCATTGTTAGAGGAATTCTTATTCCTCCTAAGTTATTTCACCAGGCTTTCATCCCCAAGTGATTCATAAGAAGTCCATAACATAAGCACAGGTAAAATATAGCTACAACTGAAGCAGAGAGGATAGCTTCCTGCATAGTGGGAGGTGATGATGTGAGAAAAACAAACAAACAAACAAAAAACCATGGCCCAGTTCCTGTATGGAGGCCCAGGATTCTTTTTATTTAGATGGCTAATAAGATCTTGGCTTTTAAGTTTCATGCCGGAAGAGCTATATGAACCATTATGCATACAGTATTTATAAATGCTGTTTTGCACCAATATTACAACAGCATTTACTCCTGAAGTTGAGAGCATCACATTATTTCTTTCCACCCAGGTTTCGATTTCTTCACAGAAATTAGACAGAATTTCTTTGCTGCTTCATCTTGCAGATACTTCCATGACAATAACCAGTATGTAGTGAGCTCATTTGTAGGGTTCAGCATCTCAGCTTGGTCACGCACAACTTCAAAATCTACTGTCATACGGACGTGCCGAAGACAGCAGTCCCCAAGAAAAGCAAGATGTGTGGCATATTCATTTTCGTCTACTCATTGCATTTGCCCATAAAGCTCTTTTTGCTCCCAGCTACTTCAGACTCCGGCACTAAGTCTGCAAAGTAACAACCAGCTTTAACTGTGTTTCTCTACAGTCATATGCTACACAAAGCACGCTGGGAAGTGAGAGCACAAAATGCTCTCCAACTGAACTTGTGCATTACTTTTCTGTGAACAATACTGAAGGGCATCTAGGCACCAGTTAGGTTCACTGCATCAGTCAGGCACAGTGTGCATAAGAAGTTTGTTTTTTTCAGTTACATAATACAAGCAGACAAGATTAATTATTAATTTGTGCTGGCATGTTTGGTGTTTCTGTCATTGGCAGATGTCGTCACATACCTGGGCAGGTGGAACACTGCCATGTTGTTCTTTGTTGACTCTTTGGAAATGAAAAGGTATTTTTAAAATCCTGTACTGTATTGTATGGGTGCGGTGAGCTGCAGTTTGGAGGTAAGAAAACTCCAAAGTTCATCCTTTTGAATTTCTTGGTAGTGTCATACTTGACAGAGTTGAAGCAAACTGCTACATCAACTAGCATAGTCTGAAAGTGTTAAAAATTGCTGGCTTAGCCTTTGAGGACACAAGATGGGAAATTTCTGGGGGAAATTAAACAAAACTTTTATTCAAAGATGATGTTAGAACTCCCTTTTACGTTTTTCCTTCATATTCCTTCTAAAGACTAGTAGCACCATCATTTTAAACAAACACGATTAGGAGCAAGTTAGGCAATATAATGTAAGGGCCTCTGTTTTTTCAAGAGTCAGTTGCAATTGTCTGTAATGTTACAGAGAAGCACAGATTGAATAAAACTGGTCAGTTACAGCACAAACAGTGAATGACACTACCTCCTCCCAAGATGCACTACTGCACCAAGATGTTAGAAACACAGATTTTATAGAAGGGACTCATATTTACAATTCCCCTTTCTAAAAAGGTGATTTTTAAGTAACATATCTTGAAATATTAAATATTAACAATGGAACAGAAAAATGTTCACATGTTTAATAGACCCTAGAAAAGAGTGACCATGCACAAAGTAAACAAAGAGAAAATGGGTCTAACTTCTTTCAGTCCTAATGAAATACTCATAGTAGTAATTTTAAGACAAAAATTGCTTTCAAACCGTGTTCTTCTAAAGTTCTAACCTGCATTTGTCAGTGATAAAAAGCAAAACTGAGTTGAAGGGGGAGCTTAGGGCAATGAATGTACTGCTGTTAGTCTTATTTGAAACCGTTTGTAAAGGGTTCTGGGAGAGTTTACAAATGAAGAAAAATTGGCAGGTTATAATGGCTGAATCACAACTACCAATTAGGATAGGAAGGAGAATCCAGAAACAGATTGGAAACAGAAGCAGAATGTAACAAAATGAAATTAGCCTGGAAAAATACAAACTAATATTACAGGGAAAAGTGATCTGAAACACGGATATGTAATGGGAAGAGAACTCTTTAGAGATAGTGGCTGCCAGCAAGTTAGACATGGGTATTGCAGCACATGAGGCTAGCTGGCTTCATGGAAGATGAAAAACAAAAGTGATCAGAAAGCAGCTTGCAATTTATTGGGAAATCAGAGAGAAGCTTAAAACAGCTAATTGCATGTAGTTCAATTAATGGAGGAACTGTGAGAAACAGTCTATAAATATTTGAAGGATGCAAATAAGAGAGATCGGAGGATTATTTTAGTGGGTACAAGCCTGCAGAACTGGGATCAACGAGTTGACATTAAGAAAAGGATAGTGCAGATTGATACCCAATGACAAAGCCCATGCGAACAAGAAATTGTCTTCTAAAGGAAGTTACAATAAGACTTTCATCTGAAAGTGAACCAATGCCATTAAGAAAAAGTCTTGGGAGTAATCTTGTGATTGCAGAGAACAGGGTTAACAGAACTATTATGCCTTTCCGACTATCTCCGTTGACACTATTTAGAAAAGTAGCATAAATTGTAAAAATGCTTAGCAAGGACTTAACACATTTTGACAGTAAAAAGGTGACAAGACATCACCTTGATGTGTCTGAAATACGTACATTTATTCCCTGTAGTTATCACCACCCTTTTAATGATTCCCCTCCCCACAAATAATAAAAAAAATTCAGCAAAATTATTGCGTAAATGCCCAAGAGACAACTTTGTGGAATGGAGGCAGCAGCTTGATGACTAATGCAACAGCATTGCACTGAAGTTACTATCATCACCAGCTGGAATTTTCAAAGTAAATCTTATGCTTGTTAGAAAGAGAAGGATGCATTTGCATTTTAAGTGGTGGTGGGACACAGCAGCACTTCCAACTCAATCTGCTTAGAAGCTGTTTGCTTTATGGCTCCAGGGCAAATACTTGGTAGAGAACCTCCCCTCCACCCAAATGTTAGTCCACTGTTCTTCAGCCTGTTCACTTATTTTCAGATTCCATTAGGAGCAGGTCACCTGCTAATTAAACTGCCATTTAAAAGTAAGAACATGAGACTCACAAGCTTTTGGCAATCAAAAATATAGACCAAATGAAGCTGCAGGATCTGAGGTTCAATAATGGGTTTGGCTCAACATAAAAGGGAGCTTTGAGGCCACATTTTGAGAGTAAAGGAACTCCAAAAAAAACATGCCCCCCCTTCACCCCATGTGTGCAGAGATGCATCACCATGTATTGGCACTGCAAATGCCTGGAAGATGCAACATTTAGCCCTTTATGTCCCATCACAGAAAGGGTGTGATCTAACTGCCCCCAAAGGCCTTGGGAGCTGGCCAGGGTATTCAGTGTGCCTATTCACTGAGGAGGAACAAAAGTATATTAGGAACAGCAAACCCTGACCACAGTGAAAAGTGCAGTCTTCACACATGCCTCCCTTCTCATTCCATCACCACCCAAAATATATGCCAATACCAATTTACCATACAGCCTCTTAGTAGCCTTAGACAGCAAGAAAAATATAAATAGGGATAGAATCAAGCTGTATGAGGGAAAGCTGAAGGAACCAGGTACATGTGGTGGGGAGGGGGGATGGGAGAGAAGACACATGATGGCAGTTTTCAAACATTTGAAGACTGCAATAAAGAACATGGAGAAAAACTGTTCTCCCTTGCCAGGGAGGATGGGGTATGAGACAATGGGCTTAGAACTATAGCAACACAGATTAAAATCTCAAGAAAATCTTCATAACTGGAAGAGCAGCAGGACAATGGATGAAGCTGCCTAAGGAAGCTGTAGAACCTCTTTCATTAAGGGTTTTTAAAGAAGAGCCTGGAACAGCATTCATCTGGCACAGTATAGGGCATAGGCGACATGTAGGGAGGGACACAGGGGGGCACGTGCCCCCCCTGAGATTGGCCCTCACCAGCCAGAGAGTGAGGGCACCAAGTTAAGCGCCGTCTGATGCCCCCCTGAGATTGACACCAGCCGGTGAGCAGCCAATCACTGACCCTGTAAGCGCCAGCAGCAAAACCAGAAGTGCTGGCGACCACCACCCCAGTTGGGAATCAGCCACTGGTGCCCCACCCCAGATTCTGGAGGCACCAGTTGCCCATGGTTTAGGGACAGGACGTTTTGCATCTGTATGGAGTGTTGCAACCCCTGCACATCCCGTCTAACTCTTTGTATGCTTGTGAACCTCCAGGCAAACCAAAAATTTGGAATTCAAAAAATAATTAAGTTATGCAAAAATAAATTATCAAATCAATTCTTAACAATAACCACCAAGCATTTTGTAGGCATAAGGCACACTTTGAATAGCAGAAATTGTCACTTTCACAACACCATCAAGCCACTATACTGCAATCTGTTTTTCATAAGGAAAATCCCCCCACCAGAGAGCCAACAAGTTGCTTAGCTATAATAGAGATCTGAACTCTTCCTTCAAGTCTGATTTACCTAAAAATGAGTCGGTTATAATTCTGACTCTCCAGCCACTAGGAGTTCTCCCCTGCCCTGAATTTAAACAAATCTGATAATTCTGTTGTAAAAAGAATTCAAGCCTGGCTTCTTGTAGCACAGCAGTATGATTTTCAGAAGACCAGAATTACCACAACTCTCCTGGAAAGTTACTGATGACTATGAGAAGTTCTCATCACTTAGAACCTAAACAAAAAAAGTCATCCCAGCTCACTGCTCACATTCCAGGCATACACATTAGGCTCTCCCGGTATTAGGAAAAAAACGCAGCTATGCACATGCTTGTCTGCCTTGTAGTTCTTCTCTCCAAGAGTTGTGCTCAACCCAGAACAAAGCAATTCAGGAGCTGATGGATTAGAATAAGCTATTTAGTTCTGGAGGGGGATAGATGAGCACTTAAATATTTCTTACACATCACCTGATAACCACCAGTAAGCCAACCAGTTCATTGACTTCTGCAGATCAGACTTTGAGAGTTTTATCATGAGCTTCAACATTGCCAGGATCAGGCCCAGAAGTTATATAACAAATATAAACCACACATGCCAAATAAAAGAAAAGCTCACATTTTTAGAGTGGATGAAATAGCTAGGAACACTTCCACAAAAGAACAACGTTTTAGTTTGTCACACTGAGCTCAAGAATAATTTTTTTATTTTATTTATTTATTTTTACTACTGAGCCCATGAAAACCTCTAAACATGAACTTCTTTGGATGTGGGTGGCAAGAAGAAATTTATTGTTTCAGAGCATCAACTCCCAACCAAGCCCAGGGAGAAAATTAGTTCTCTACAAGCCTGAGTTAATTTTTAGCTCATACTCTAGCTTCAAGCCCATGAGCATGGACTAGAGTAGGGGTAGGCAATGTTTTTTTTGACTGGAGTGCTGAAAAAACCACCACGTCTATCTTGGAAGGTGCAGGAGTGCTGGTATGCCAGAAAAACAAAACGAGGGCAGGGGATACATGGCAGGATGCACTATATATTAGCATAGTTAATAATCATAAATGTTGCCCTGCTGCCCTCCCCCAGGCCCTCTGGAGTGCAGCATGTGTGACCCAGAGTGGCATTGCACAGAGGAGCCACACAGATAAGCTGCCTGCCGCTGCAATCTCTGCACTGACCTGGCCACACTTCCCCTGTGTGCACAGGGGCAGCAGCACAGGGTTGTGCCCCCGCCTGCAGGGGAAGTGTGGCCAGGGCAGCAGGGAGCTCGGTACAGCAGACAGCTTTCGTATGCCTCCCTACTGTGCCCCGCCACGCCGGGTTCCACATGCTGCTCTGCAGAGGTGGCAGGGGAGGGCAGCACGGTGGGAAGCATCACCAGCACTTGCTGCTTCCCAGAGCCCGGGGCCGGAGCGCAGCTGGGTCCAGGGCGGGAAGTCAGGAGCTGTTTGCAGCCTCCTGGCTGCAGCTGGCCTAGGCTCTGGTGTAGCAAGGCTTCCAGCCGCCTTCTGGGAGCAGCCCAGGCTCCAGGGCTGGCAGCAGCTGCCCAGGCTGGCAGTGGCATGCTAAGCAAAATGGCCTCGTGTGCCATGTTTGGCACGCGTGCGGCAGGTTGCCGACCCCTGGACTAGAGTATATGAAGAGTAACAGGATCCCAAATGGAAAACCTGCTAAACATGTGCTGGGAAAGATTTTGGAATCTGAACTAAGAGGTCCACATTCCACATCCCTCTTCCCTCCATCTGCTCTTATCCTGCTTCTCCCCCAACTTCTGCCACTCCCTGCCAAATCACAGGAAATAGAGATTTGACAGACTCTCCCTCAGACTTCAAGAACAGAGATTTTTTTGTTGAATCAGCCTTGAGGATGATTTTCTCTCTTTCTACTTCAAAGCAAGACGTTGTTAAGAATTGTATCTAGCCAACTCCACAATAAAGTGAGAGGAAGAAGGTTACTCACTGAAGCCAAAGACAAGCTCATTTTGCAAATGTGTAGGTAAGCATTTATTTTGAATGCTGAAATCATGGTTGTGCCTTCACGTTAAGCTTGTTCACCCCCCTTGAACTCGAGTAATGCAAAAAATTCCGTGACAGAAACAGGTCCTAACAGTTGCATGAATCCCAAGACATACCTTGACGTGATAGTGGGCATCAAGCAGAATGTTTGCTGGCTTGAGATCCAGATGGAGCAGTGGCGGTGACATGCAGTGCAGGAAGTTCATACCCACAGCCGTCTCATGGATGATTCGGAAGCGCAGTTCCCATGGCAGTGGTTCTGAGGCCAGGAGCTTTTCCAGTGATCCTGTCTCCATATATTCCATAACCAAGCCAACTGGTTCCTTACAGATGCCATAAACAGGAAGGATATAGCGAAATTTTGCCATTTCCATCTTCTTTGCTTCTTCCAGCAGCTCCATCCGCTCCCTAGGCCAAAGAGAATAACGTTATCAAAGGCATGGGCTATTCCTACCCACAAACATGACATTTACTTTAACACAGGGCAATCCAACTTCCAAGCCACTGGGAACTTCACAGGCTTCCCTGCTACCCAGCATAGCAGGCACCTCCTGCTGGGCTGGATCCCATGGGCACCCCCACATTGTGCCAAGACCGTAGGCCATGCTGTGCTGCCTTGATCGTAGGAGTGGAAGCATGAAAGAGAAGCTGAAGGAGAGAGGGAGAGCCTGAAGACCCCTGTGGCAGTAGCACCTAGACCTCAAGTCCAGGGCCTTTGCATTAACTCCTCGCTGGCTGCATGTGGCCTGTGGGCCACCAACCTGGGAGTCACGCTCTAACAATTAGCCTACAGTACTAAGTGATGCATTTCAGAATCTCCACTTGGAGATCAGTACTTATCCAATCTCTGCAGCTAGCATTAAATTCATTTGTCCATTCTGTTCTTGCTTTAACAAAACAATTTTAAACACAGATTTACCTCTGCTAGCTCCCCAGGCTACAAATGCTAACTTTTTGTGATTCACAAGACAAAAGTTAAACAGAAGCAAATTTAGACAGCATTGCTCCAATTGCCTTGCTACGCACAGGTCTCCAAAGTCATCTGGAGAACTGGAACTAATCTGAAAAACCACTCCCATAGAGAAGGAACAGATTCCAGTTATAAATTACATGGACACATTATAAGCTCTTTTCCACCATGGACTATGCTCAGTTAGTTCACCAAGATAGACCCAACTCAGGCAGCACTGAAAAACAAAGCAAAACAAAACTTAAAACACAACTAAATGCCTATATTGTGTTTCCAGAATAATCCCAAGTAAGGAGATCAATAAGTTATTTACAAGTCACGTGGAAGCCTGATCTGTGAGGTGCTAAGTACTGGCCTGTAAGAAATGAAGATTTTCCTTGACTCCCAGATCAAGACCCTGATTGCTTACAGTAGGAGAGGACAACAGTGCCCTCACTTAACAATCAAATAATTCATATTTGTTTATTTGGAGTCAACACTAAATTGGAAGGAAAAAGAGAGTCTCCCATGGCTGCCTACAAGTATAGAAAAGCAGTCAATCCTGGGGGAAGGATAATAATTTGATCCAAAAAAAAGATTAATGAAAGTAAGACAGCATACTATACAGATTTCGCTCATGGGTAAGAACAAATCAGTAAGTCTCTGACCAGTAAAACAAAGAAGTATGGAAGTCAGAACCACATGCTCCGAGAACATTATTTTACAAAGACCCTTATAACATCTACAACAAAATCCTATCAGCTCTACTAACTGCTATCGTGTTCAGCACATTTGTCAGCAAGGTCCAACAGTTTAAAAAAAATAAATAAAAGAAACCAAGGGCCAATGCCAACATGGTGGTTCACTAATTTAAGCACCGACTTGAATAGAACAATATGCCAATTCACACCAAAGGAACTGCCCTAAGTGTATTTAAAGCAGCATTACAAAGAGTGAATCTCATACCTTTATTCAGCTGCTGTTCTGAAAGATTAAGGGTCAGATTCTACTCTACTGATTAGATATCTAAGTGTGATTCAGCCCTGCCTGAATCTGTGGAAAACAAAAAACCATTAACTCAAGAAGGAAGTGAGTCCTCCTTCATCATCATTAGTTTTTGTGACTTAAGAATAAGATGAAAGCGCTTTACAAAAAAAAAACCAAAAAAACTGTGAAGTGAAGTTCTTTAGTAGCTCTAAATCCTGTTTTGGTTTTACTATGCTGGGGCTGAGCTGAAAATCCAAGGAGCTAGACTTCTCTGGCTAGTGCTACTGCACAATGACTAATTCAGTGTTGCAGAATTCAGAAGCCAGTTGAATTGAGCAAGATCTCCTACAGCAAGATTTTAAATTCAGCACTCATAGATCTAGCACAGAAAAATGAAAAGCATATTCTTCCTGGGAGATGAACAGCTATATTCTGAAGACAATTTAGTACATCAGAAGGACAGGTCAACCACTCTTAAACATGCCCAAGGTATTTATTGTTACATTGTTATAAACCATCATGTAGGCAAAAATAAAAAAAAAGTGATGTTGACACTGCAGTATGTCTCAACAAGATTGGTGAGTCTAGGATTTGACTAAATTATCAAATTATAATTCTTTTTACACTATTTCCAGTACAAATGAGTGCTCAGGATCACAGCTTTAAAAATCCAGATTACATGGATTGTAGAATACAAGACTCAAAACAGATGATCTCCGACCACAAAATTAGATACGGTCAATGATTCCAATAAACAAATTTTAAATGCCAGCCACCAATCTTCAAACCAGGATTTAGATATTACAACTTTTCTTTTGATTTAAAACTTGGTTCAAATGCTTTTCCCATGTAAACGGACCGGAAAGAATTCCCTGCAGTCCCAGTGGGAAAGGTAAGTGATTCAACATTAGTCAGTCAAAGAGAAGAATGGAATCAGTAAGAACCCTGATTTACCAATCCGGTGCAGTGAGTGAAATGAGTGAATCACATTTACCAGGAAGAAGAAAAACAACTTCATAGCCAAGGAGTCTAGTTCTTGTAAAGACTTATCTGAAGAATTCTCTACCCCCCCCCCCCCCCAAAAGGAAGGGGGGGGAAAAAAGGGT